TTCTCTCTTTCTCCCCACCCCCTCTCTATTTTCTCTGTCTCTGTCTGTCTGTCTGTCTGTCTGTCCCCCCCCCTTCTCTCTCCCTCTCTCTTTCTCCCCCCCCCCCCCACCTTGTCGCGCCCCAAACTCACCCCCCCCAACCTTCTTTCTCTCTCTGCCCCCTCCCCCTCTCTCTCTCTCTCTCTCTCTATCTATCTCTCTCTCTCTCTCTCTCTCTCTCTCTGTGTGTGTGTGTGCGTATTATGTCTTTGGCTCAGAACGAGATATTCATTCTTTCATTCAAACTATTTACAAGCGTATTTCATATCATGTATGCATTTTTATACAGTAAAGAGATAAGGAAAGTTGATAGCACGGTTATCTTTATTTTTTATTTCTTGCAACTACGAGACAAGAACTGAAAACGAAAGCTCTCAATATTATTGCCAGGTCTCCTTATCTGAGAAACTCATTATTGGTCAATGTTCCCTTTACTCAACTTTACTGTCTTATTTTGTTCTACACCAAAACTGTGTCTGTCTTTATATTTACAGACAGACAGACAGACAGACAGACAGACAGACAGACAGACAGACAGACAGACAGACAGACAGACAGACAGACAGACAGACAGAGATTTTAGATCAGTTCCTACACTCAATTCATTCTTTTGTTTCAGCCTCATAATCGTCTCTTTCAATGACATTTACTGATGCTGATGCTAGCGTCTAATCAACGAGATGAGAGTGCTGTTTCGGCAGTACCCCAGTTTCAACAGTTATAGAGCTCAGAAAATGCTTTTTGAACACCTTTCCAAAATACTTTGATGTCCTAGCCTCAATTTCTCAAGATTACCACAGCCTACTGCAATGGCATCGACATTCTTCAGCACATCACACGGCAGTTCGAACATTGATAGGCACTAGTGGTGTAGGTATAGTGATGAAACATATCGTGAGAGTGATAATAGTGAAGAGGAAACTTTAGATGAGGATGAACTTGCTCCTCACCCCATTGCCAAAAAGAAAATTTCACCCATGAAGAAAGATAAAGAAGTAGGTGACAATGACGGAGATGCGCTTTTTTATTCTGCCGTTGAGAACCCACCATCAAATAAAGTGTCAGCAAAATTTACAAGGAAGTGCAAAAGCTATGGAGGCTGAAACAATATTCACAAAATCAGCGGAACACTGAGGTTTAGTACACAGCAGGATACTGTGTGACGGAGATGCCAAATCTCATCCGATGCTCAATTTTTTATGGCATTTATGACTTTGAAATTGTAAAAGATAACTACACACATCGCATTAGCAAAAGTATGTTCAATGCACTTCAGAGCTTCCAAAACACCAACAACGAAGAGCTGAACAGAAAACTAATGAAGATTGAAAAACAGAGCAGTTACAAATGCCTCACAAAACCTGAACGTAACAGTTACTTGTGCTCATTAGTTTTAATTTTGTTTTTGTTCAGGAGCTGTTGGTTTCTTACCGAGCGCGAAACCTCTTTTGCACAGAGACCCTGTAAGATTTTTGAACATCTGTCAGTGAGGAACAGAGGCCACGAAACTGCCATGATTTTGGGTGGCATGGGGTGGAATGAACAAAGTCGCTCTCGTGAGAATCACCGGATGCCTTGGTTTAGTGGACTACATCACGCAAGTGCTGGAGCTTCATGTCTTACCCTTATTTTCGTCAAGGTGTTATTCAAGTAGTCATCCCCATGCGAAACACGGCATTCTTAAAAAACCAAATCAAGTCAACGTTCGAATAGTTAGCAGCAAACAGCCCCGATATGAATCCTACAGGTATGTGAAGTCCCATGAAACAGCGGCTGAAGAAAAACGGCTTTGCCCTCAATTCAGACCCTTTGTTTGCAACTCTCTGTGACATTTGAAATGAAATGACTGATAAATATGTCCAAAACTGAATAGAATTGATGCCTAAAGGTTTCGTGCACAACACAAAGCCAATGGTTCCTAAGCAAAATAACAATGAACACAATTACTGTTGAGTCGAAGTTTTGTGTGGTATATGTGATTGCTCTGTTTTCCGTTATGTTTGAAACTATCGTGACAAAATACGGTAATAAAATATTGTTTATTGCAAAGACACAATTCTCCATTCATTGGGCCTTCAATATATCTCCATTCGATCAATATTGATAATCTTCAATAAATGCGCAAAGACAATTTTACTTTTCTTTGATTTCGCACAATTTTGCCAAGCCTTATTTTTTTAGGGTCAATTTTGAGTGACAATATCTCGGGCGTCTCTTAAAATAGATTAAATATTAAAGAGTCAGATGATGAAGAATTTATTTAGCTTTAAATTGGAATGCTGCATGAATGGGTAATGCAAGGCTTTAACACGATGACTGGGTGATTACATTTTCAAGTTTTTTTGGGACGCAACTGTATAACAGACTACATTTACTATTTACAGTAAGTTTTGCACGTCCAAACTTTTAGGAGTTTTCTCTCAAATTGGGCTCTTTCGGGGGGGGGGACACAAAAATCCATCAGGCGAAAAGTTGTTAAGATATCGTCATAATTTTCGGTATACTGATAGATGAAACATTATTCTAGTATAATAAGTAGTGAAGTCAGAAAAAAATCTTGAATAAATGATTTTATTATAAATTTAATCCGTTGTTTGGATCTGAGATTGTTGTGGTCAAAATATTCCCATATTTAGGACCTCGATTCTGGGAAAGTTTTTCGTCCTACATCAAAAATGCAAAGTCCATCCTCTAAAACAGCCACGGAAGGCTGCAAAACCACTTATTGTAACATTTAAAATAATTTATAACCTTATGATAGATTTTTTAAAGAAATGTGTGCACTTTCTATATATATGACATTCCAAAAGGGGCGTTGCCTTAGCAACACAAAAGAATTTTCAAAATTTTACCTCATGACTTAATTCTCCACTCTATTCATATTGATGCTACCCAATGATGCTACCACATTTGTAAGCTTAGTTTCTTCTTCATAACGAATTTCAAAATTTCCCCCGCCTCATGCCTTAAACCGGCAGTGGACGCTCCGTCTAAACGAAGCTTGAGTGCCGTGAACGTAGCCTCAACAGCGCCTGCAAACTGCATTCAGGGCGCCGTGAACGTAGCCTGCCAACTACATTCACGGCGCCGTGAAACTAGCCTGCAGACTACGTTCACGGCGCCGTGAACGTAGCCACTGCGTAACAGGTTTGAGTCGATAGGGCCGAACCTAGATCTAAGTACGGCTTCTAGCCGTACTACGGCTATACTCTCAGGCTAGCCGTACTTAAGTACGGCAAGCCACTTCGCTTAGTTTTTGTTAGGCCCTACTTTAAAAAAATTAAGTAACCAGTTAAAAAAAAAACCCACCTAACGCTTGCATATGTACCACCCTAATGCTTCGTATTCCTTATTTATAGTGATTAACCCTTGTAGCGCTTACCGGAAGCGCTGAGCGTGCTCCGTGCCGGGCTCGCTAAGCCTTGACCGTTCGTGACCGGCCCCGGAGCGCTGGCCGGGTCGTTTTAAGGCCCACGCGGGGAATGTTATTGCTTCATTTTGTATCTTGACAGTAAGCGCGCATACATTCACCAAAACCCTAGACAAGTATACATTTCTAAATTCAGAAAGGACTTCATTTTCCAGAGGTATGGTTTTCAAAATCGAAGTGTATACAGACCCGGTAACGAGGAACAAAGTCACGAAGTATACAGACCCGGTAGGGGAACTCTTTGGAGGTCGGAAAGTTTCAGCGCCCAGACCCGGTAGTGTGTATGTGTGTGTGTGTGTTTGTGTGAGAGAGAGAGAGAGAGAGAGAGAGACTGCTCGATTGATCATTAAAATTATGACATTGTACTTTTCTCAAATTGTGATTCCTCCAAGTCCAAAAACGGAGGAAAAATTATCTTTCATCGAAAAGACATCCGCAGTCTTCGTTTAGATCTAGATCTAGGCTAACCTCGAAATTAGATCAATGATTTATGTCCGTCTATCTAGAATCTAGACCTAGGCCATAGATCTAGAAGTACCTAGGTCTACCCTGAGCCAAGAGGGCGCTGAAACTTTCCGAAATCACAAAAGAGTTCCCCTACCGGGTCTGTATACTTTGTGACTTTGTTCCCAGTTACCGGGTCTGTATACACTCCCTTTCAAAATAATAAACTGAAAGCTGTTAATGAAACCATATTAGTAGATCTATGTATTGTTGTTTGAATTAGATTTGTTTACAAGTTTCACACGCAGGTAAGAGAAGGAAAACATTGACAACACATGTGACTTACCCAGCACTTCTATGGCGAAAATTCCCGCTCACAAGTCTATACATACTCCAAAAAAAAAAATGCAAATGTTCCCAATTTTGTAATCCAACAAGAATTTCACAGTAATCCTGTATGGAATGATGAAAACCAGTCTCTCACTTTTATTAGGCACTGTTCAAATTTGTATTTTTAAATGTTTGAAATAGAATTCTTGGAGATTTTCAGTCTGTACTGCAGTTGGCCAATCAAAGAATGATTGTTCACCCCTCTGCCGCGTTGAGGCCCAGTACAATGCGAGGGGGTTGGCCCTCAAAAGGACCTTGACAAAGACATTTTGATGTGGAACTATGTCTAAGTTTAGGCTGCCTGGTCTGCTGCTGTGCCTGCTGGTTCTGCGGCTGACTGGTCTGTTGTCTGCTGTAAGAGCTTCCTCCGAGCTCGCTGGTGGTCTTTCTGCGTATGGAAGAGCTCGAAACTAGGAGCGGCACAAAGTCCAAAGTCACATATCCTGCCCTCGAAGGTTGTTGACACTTTCTTCGGTGCAGCTCCAAGCTCTCGTCGCTTCTGGCTTGTCTCGGAGCAGACAAAGCAGTTCCTGTACGGCTGCTTCCTTTTTTGTCCCTGGTTTGGCACCTTGGAGGGGAAGTGACGACCAGTCAGCCTGTGCAGTGGGTCCGCGCCTGGACTGGGAAGTGCCCTCCTTCTAGCATCTCGAATGGGAGCAAATGACACCATCTCCTTGCAGAGCTGGCGGCGGAAGGTTCAGTGGCTAATGGATCTCGCCCTGTTTGCTGCTGCTGTGGCCTTGTACAGAAGGTACACATTCAATTCTGCCGGCATAAACAAATGAAAAAACAGCTTTTTCCACCACTTCATAGTCCGTCTCTTGAATGAACTATACTGGACCATCTGGTCTGACCGGTCCACAGCGCCCATGTATTTATTGTAGTCAATCACAGCCTTGAATTTGTCTACAAGGTTGCCATCTCTGTCATGACGGTCTGTGCGCTGTGAAGAGGCGTCATGGATGGTCGTCAGCACGTTGATCTCCTTCTTGTCCATCCACTTGATATGGGTCAGCTTCCTGTTAGTCATCACCTTCAGGTCTCCCTTCGTCTTGACGACCTTTTTACCTTTCATGGCGGCTGCTGCTCCGGTTCTGTTTGTACGTAAGGTACCGAGGCTGGTGTTTTCCTGGATAGAAGGTCGGTGAACAGAATCGGACTGGTGTAGTAGTTGTCCTCGTAAAGGTGATGACCGGCGTCCAGGTATGGAGTCAGCAGCCGCAGCACAATGTCGTAGGTGGCCCCCTTTCGTGAGGCTGGCTTCTTATCGCTGTACACTTCGAAGGCTGAGCAGTAGCCGTTGACGGAGTCACACAGCATGAACAACTACATCCCGAACTTGTCAGGCTTCTCCGGGTTGTATACTTTGAAGTACAGAGGGCCCCTCCAAGCTACCATCGCCTCATCGACGGCCAGTCTCTGAGTGGGATAGTAGGTTTCCTTGAACAACTGCTGAAGATGTTCCAGGAATGGAGCGATATTGTACAGGGGATTGAAGTTGGGGCTGTCCCTCGCGGGCGCTGCGTCGTTGTCGTTCAGGTGAAGGAACGTGAGGAGCAGCATGAAGCGATCCCGTGTCATGCATGCCCCAAAGAAGCTGAGGCCGTAGACCGCATCGTGGGATCAGTAGTCATCCAGGTCTCCTATGTTGATTAGGCCCATGGCCGTAATTATGCCGAAGAAAGCCCACATCTCCTCGACAGTGGTTGCGACCCACTTACCGAAGTGGTGGATATATAATATATATATGTATATATGTGTGTATGTCACCAAACAGAACTGATCTTCCTTGTTTTCTGTTTCCTTTCTCACTTTTTTCCATTGATTTGTAACCTGCCCCCCCTCCCCCCTTTTTTCCAACAAACTTTACCTTTACCATTCCTATTATAATATATGCTTTACAAACCCTCAAATTGATTTCTTTCAGATCTTGTAAGTTATGATGTTACTTAGTTTCATTTGGGGTATATTTACCTGTTCGTTTCCTCGGTTATTCTCCCCATGACGTTGTCACCAACTAGTAATTTCAAGTAGGTGAAAGAAGAGACATCAGCGTCTACCCTCTTCTGCAGCCCAGGCTTGCCCGTGAAAGGGGGTGTCGTCGGGGTAGGCTGAGTGCCGAGATCATTCGCACCCTCATCGTCGCTGCCAGCAAAGTAGACTTCTTTGGCTGACTCCTGACTCTCAAAACTTAGAGCGTCGAAGTCCTCAACAAAGTCGCTCGAGCTGCCAACCAGCTAACGCAAAACGTCCGTGTTCGAGAGGACAAGTACCTGAACGCCGTCATCAGTAGTAAAAGATTCCATTTCTACGCAGTGTTCAAAAGCAGTAGAACTGTAGTTGAGCGATCGGAAGATTTAGATGGTTCTCGCTCAAAGAACGCAGAAAAAGTGCCGGAGATAACGTGGGTTCCAGATAAGATGGCGACAGTAAAGCGTCTGTTTATCTCAGTAGGTCAGTTAGCTAA